GAAGAAGTAGAAGAAGCAGAAGAGAAAGAAGAAGGAGAGTGAGGAGGAAAAAGAAGATGGGGTGGACAACATTAGAAGACAAAGAAGAAAAGGAAGAAGAGTGAGAAGAAGAAGGAGAAGACGGACCAGCAGCACTAGCACTGCAGGGGGTGTGTTAAAAAAAAAAAAAAGAAGGAGAAGACGGACTAGGAGAAGAAGAAGAAGATTGCAGCACCTTCATGCCCGGCTTCAGTTTGAGGTGGTCGGCTAGGCCCTCTTCAAAAATGCGTGCTGCATCTGTGTGGCCCTTCCCCGGAATGAAAGGGTGGAGATTGAAGCTCTGGCCATAGCCCCATTCGTATATATCGGTAACCAAATTGTAGAAAGTGTCAGCCAACTGGGGTGCCATGGACTTCTCGGCTATGCCTTCTTCTTCTGTATTCGCTTGATAGGACCCATCATACTCCTTCCACTTGTTTCCCAACTGAAACGCACAAGAAACGTAAAAAAAATGTCACATACAACAGATAACAAAAGTCTTTCCATTTGTCGTTTGGAGAGTTTGTCAGCTTCCAAAAAGAAAAGAAAAGAAAAGAAAAAAGCTTCCAGAAGCAAAGCATCAAGTTGATTCATCTGTTAAAAATTGGAACGATGCAGAGAAAATTAGCATGGCCCCTGCAAAAGGATGACACGCGAAAATCGAGAAATGGTCCAAATTTTTGTGAGGGGTTTGAGTGTGAGCATGCCTGTTGGGACCCCTAACCAAAAAAAAAAAAAAAAAAAAAAAAAAAAGAAGAAAAGAAGAAGAAGCAAGAATCCCACAAATTCACCCCAAAACGCAACATCGCAGTAAACACAACAAAACAAAAAAAATGGCCAGCAGGCTAGCTCAGTTGGTAGAGCACGTAAGTGGAATTCAGGAGGTCATGGGTTCGATTCCCATGTCCTTCAATCGGCTTCCCACCTCCTCCTGCGGCGGGCTTTGGGTTCACCAGCTGAAAGAGACAGCTTGCCCCCCCCTGATTGGTTTTCAAGGTGGCTGTTCCTTCCAGGCCTTGCTGGGGGTTAAAGATAGCCTGGGTACTACTCCCCGCCCAGAGCAGAGTGGATAGACTGGGCCCCAAGAGGATAAGTTCAACCCATAACTCCTAGTGCAGCTTAGTGCCAGCTAGTAGATATTAGGGCTTAGTGTAGCTGCTACCTTAAACCCTGTAGTTGTAGTGTAGTCTTCCCACACTACCAAGTGTCGAGCAGTGCCCCATCCTGGTCAGGTTGCAACACCCCTTGCAGGTCCGGTTGATGGATACACCGATTCACATACACAGCTAGTGGTAGGTAGTGTGCGATGAAAAATAAAGAGAGAAGAAAATAGCGTAGTAAAACGCAGCCGCACCCCATATGAGGAGAAGGCCGTCTGTTTGTATTAATGGGAAAAAAAAAAAAAAAAAAAAAAAAAAAAAAAAAAAAAAAAAAAAAAAAAAAAAAAAAAAAAAAAAAAAACAAAACAAAGGAAAAGAACTGCAAAGACTGACCAAAATTGCAAGGACTGCAGGGAAGTCCCAAAAAACGTGAAAAACAAAGCAAGGTTAACCTTTGCAAAAACTTCAAATCTACAGAAAACTACAAATCTAAAGCTCTCTCTCTCTCTCTCTCTCTCTCTCTCTCTCTCTCTCTCTCTCTCTCTCTCTCTCTCTCTCTCTCTCTCTCTCTCTCTCTCTCT